CTGTATAAAAAGCAGGGCTCTATTTTGTTTTCAGGCCAGACCAATACTTAGAGACAAGGATCGTTTGGAAGAACTTGCTGATCCAAGGCTTGAGGGGAAGTACCCAAAGGAAGATTTTGTGCGGGTTTGCACAATTGCAGCGGCTTGTGTTGCTCCGGAAGCTAGCCAACGGCCTACAATGGGAGAAGTGGTTCAATCGCTCAAAATGGTTCAGCGAGTAACTGAGTACCAGGATACTACTACTATAAATTCAGGTGCTCGACCTAACTTAAGACAGTCATCTACAACCTTTGAATCAGATGGTACCTCGTCTATGTTCTCTTCTGGTCCTTACTCTGGTTTGAGTGTCTTTGAGAATGACGTATCTAGGGCAGCTGTATTCTCAGAAGATCTTCATGAAGGAAGATGAACATTGTTGGTGGAAGGCCTTCCAGTGCTCTGATCTTTCGATCATAATGCAGCAGAAGGGGGAGAATTTGAAAGTGGGTTGGCCGAAGTGAGACAGACCCTGCACAGTGGATCTGCCAATGCTTTGGAGAATCTATTGGTTTCTTTCATCCCCTGTAGAGATCCCACTGTTCAATTTTCCCTGTATGGCCATTCTCTACTTGTTGGATGAGAGCCTGTATATATGTAATGGGTTGATATTTGAGGACAGTGGTTCAGTTGAAGTGGGATAAAAGTTGAATTTCTTCTTCTTAAGTTTTTTTTTCATCTGTCTGACGCCCCTGTTGGCCTGTTGTAAATTCCTCTTGAATGTGTCACTTATCATTGATTCTCCTTACAACATCGTGGTTAGCTAAGCAAAAACTTGACTGGATACGTTTAGGGTGTAAGTGAGAACCATATTTTAAGATGGTCAAAACTAGCGGCACAGTACCTTGAGTTTGTAAAACTATGTGCACTTATTTCATGGAGAAATATTTTGGCTTGGTTCACCTCCGGGGGCGGATGTGTACCATTGTTGGTGTGGGTTCGATTGAACCATAACTTTCAATGCGGAACATAAGTTTGTTAAATTACAATAATAGTAGATATGAATTCATAATTTTGAAATATAACAGTTCAATAGTAAAAATCACAAGAAACTAAACTCATAAAATTTAAATATTGAATTTGTCGAGTTCAATTCGATCGTCTTGATCAAGTTGGCTAAGGTATCAAAGTAGGTTTGATTGGATTAGGCTTCAGTCGACTACAGAGGATGTTGGAATGTATGCGTCCACTTATCAGTCAAGGACCAGGTCCCTTGACTCAGCAAGAACAGTAACTAAAAATGTGCAGAAAAGAAACAACTGGAAGTAAGATCTGCACAAGTGTTTTACGTGGAAACCTCCTTACTCAAGGGAGTAAAACCACAACCTGTCTCACAGGACTTTTCAAACTGTTTTTACTAATCTTCTCAAAGCAAAAGTAAAAACAAGTTTATAACCACACATAGAGATTAACCTCCTAATCTCTAAACTAAGTAATACAACCTATTACTTAATGATCCTAAGCAAATACAACACTGCCCACTATACTAACCCAAACTGATTAATATAGACTTTTCTAACCAGATACCACACCGCCCACTAAACCACCTAACTCTAGATGATTTAGAATTTGACTAAGCAACACACAGGTTGCCCACTAAACCACCACCCTCTGGACGATTTAGACTTTTAGAAACCGAAACAAGATCTGAATCCTTTATAGATTAGGAACATATTTACAATGTAAGCACGAAAGTATAACTCCTAAGACACACTATGATGCTTGCAACTCGATCAGGTCCTTGTTGCGCTTGTCAGAGAATACTTCACCAAGATGGTCTTTGCTTGTATACTTGAGAATTTTCAAGATGCAAAGACTGACAAAACTCAAACTCAACAAAGACGTTTCAACACTCTATCAGGTCCCTTTGTTGAGCATGAGTATTGTTCTTCCTTGAAGATGACCTTCTTTTTAAGATTTTGAATTTTCAGAGAAAATCCAAGTTTTGTTTGCCAAATCTTGAGTTTGTGTGTTGTTGGAAGAGACTATATTGAAAATGAACACAAACTCCTTGGGACCGCCCATTGGCTAAGAGCCTGCCTTATCTGTAAAGACGTGCACCTGTCACATCAGAAGTGACAGCTCTACAGCTGTACTGTCGTCCTTTCACGTACGCAATCTTGAAGGGACCAGGTCCTTTACAGACTTTTCTTAGTAAGTTCTTGAGAAGACGTGCTGACTTTTTCTCATTTTGAATGAATGAATTAGTTTGTTGTTTGTCATGTTGACTAAGTCAACCATAAAGAGTTAATACACATTGGACAAACAACCTCGTCCCTTTTGATTGGTGTAGTACTCTGACGGCTTCACCAACTTCTGACGCGGGCAGCTTTCCAGCTGTACTCCATTATGGATCTGGATGAGAGAACTCAACCATGGACCAGGTCCCTGCATTTGTGAGACACTGAAACAGATAGTCTCGTCCACTCTTCCTGTTGGTGCAGTACACTGCGCTCACTGTGTTTTTCACCTACCATGTGAAATCATAGTTTTACAGTTGTACCCCATTTGAATCTGAACGAGAGCACTCTGCAAGGGACCAGGTCCCCGCGTTTGTGAGGATCATCAAAACATCTAGAATATAACAGAGGAGCTACATCTTCAAGAGAGGGTAATTTTTTGAAGAAACCAATTTTAAACACTATCTCATATATTTTTATTTGTTCATCTCATTTTCATGTTTTGCTCGTTCTAAAAAGAAAACATCTTTTTTTGGGTAATTTTTTAATCTAATTTTTATGACATATTTAAAACTCCAAGATTGAAGAACACTTCTCTATTATTTTTTAATCTATTTTTTTTTATTATCTCCTAGTGCGGGTTACCTCTCCTATGTGGTTTGCGAGCTAATGTATAGAAGCAGGGGTTTTACCCTGTGCGCACCCCAAGGGTAGCGGTTGTGGGTTTCCCTTGTCATAAAAATAAATAAAAAAATTCTATGTATCTTTAGTTTAAGACCATAAAATTCAAAAAAAAATTCTTTAATTTCTTAAATTCTATTACAGGTCAAACTCAGACTAATAAATTAAAAAGACCAAGTATTGCTAATAGGGAAAATTGTGCATTATAGCAAACTATTAATTCAAAATAAATGTTATAACTACAGTTTCATTTAATTCCAATTTGCAGTAAACTTTTTGCCATTCGCCTCTCTCCCTTGAATCTCGCTCGCCACTCTCTGGAATCTCGCTCGCCGCTCTCTTACTCGCCTCTCTCACTTTATACAAACACAAATGTATAAATTGTGTTTGTATAAAGCGAGAGAGAACTGTATATACAAATACATATCTCTTCGTCCTATACATTTATAATTATACAAATACAAATCTTCCCCTGCCCAGCTTTCTTTTGCCTTTCTCTTTTTCACACTTTATACAAACACAAATTATACAAAATACAATGTGTAATTTGTTTTGTATAAAGAGAGAGAGAGAGAGATTTGATATAGAAATACAAATGTTTTAACTCGATTTAATTGTATACAAAATTCAAATTTTATGTAGTTATACAAACACAATCATTGATATATATATATATATATATATATATATATATATATATACACACACACACAATTATCTAACCATTATATATATCTACAATCGCTGCGATTTTATACAAATCAGATGCTTGTGAATCAGATGTCTGTGATTTATACAAATCAGATGCTCTATAGCAAACTATGTTTGCCATGGAACGCAAATAACAAAACTATAACTATAGAATGCAAATATGATTTTTATGTTTGTTATTCTTAAAATTTGCTCTTAATATTATGTTAACTGGGCCAAAGGGGCAACTATTAAAAAGGCATAATACATAAACATGACCCTTAACTTGACTTTAATTGGCAAATATAACCTTTAACTTTGTGTGTGCACAAGTAGGCACTTAAACTTGTATAAAATTGAACAAATAGACACATTCATCCTACATGGCACCATACATGACAATTTTGTATCCTACGTGGCGTCCTACGTGTATTATGCCACGTAGGACACATGTGTCTACTTATTCAATTTTATGTAAGTTTAAGTGTCTACTTGTGTACACTCAAAGTTGGAGGGCATAGTTATTCGTTGAAGCCAAGTTAAGGGTCATGTTTATGTATTATGCCTATTAAAATTTAGTTTAATCTTTCTTTTCCTCTAATAAAAGATCAGTTAAATAAAAAGGTAAATATGCACTATTTGTTATACCCTCCGTTTCTATCTACTTGTCAAATATTTTCTAATTTGATTTCGCTTGTTACTTGTCATTTTTTTTACTAATCAAGGAAGAACAATTTTTTTCTTCCTTTATACCCTCAATTTATTAGCATTCCGTTAATGTCTTTGAAAAATATAGTGAGTAAATATGTTTAAGATTTTATCAGTGAATAAGAGTAAAATAGTAAACTCACTATGCTAATCATTATTTTCTTAATAGGTGTGTCAACTCAAAATTTGACAAGTAAAAAGGAACGGAAGAAGTAGATGACAAAGAGTATATATACACTATTTATATATATGTTTCAAAGTGAGGACTTTTCAAGTATAATGATGTTAATTTGTTTGGGAAATTGAGGTATTGTTGCCCAAGAAAGTGAACACGTGCGTATAAGTAAAGATGATGCTAACCAAGAGTGGACAAGTGAAATAGTTGAGAATTGTGAGGTGTTGGGTTCAAAATTGGAAAGGGATAAAAAATATTAGATAATTTTTTTCATATGTCCTAATCTCATGGGTAGAGTTATTTAGTACTTATTGTTGGTAAAAAATGACAGATATTCTATAAAATTAATTTAGGTGTGCTAAAGCTACCCTACCACGCAATCATAAAAATAAAAGAAAAAGAAGTAAAGATGATGGTATCGTGAGGCAGGGAGAGTGCAGTGTGTTAAAATGGTCAGCAGAAGAGGAGGGAAAAAGTAATGAAATAAAGAGAATTATCGAGTCCGGATTTGCTAAGGCAAACAAATAGAAATTGGAGTCCAACAAGACAATATTACACACAGGCTTGAGAGAGAAAGAGAGACAGTGTGGGTGCGGGGTGGGGGTGGGGTTAGGGTGTGAGTAAGAATAGGAAAGGCAAAAATGGAGAAGATATTGAGAGTCTTCTTTGGCTATAACGCTACCAACGACACCCTTCACTTCACTTCTCAAACCCTAATTACTCACCCAAAATCCCTTCTTTTCTTTCTCTCTCTTTTCTCTATCAATTTCCTATATTTTTCCTTCTCCTTATTTCAATTTCATCTCTGCTGTTCGCCGTTGCTGCTGCTCGGTTCTCTGCCATTCTCAAGGTATTTGATTTGATTTGATTCTCTTTTTGGTTCTCGGTTTGCTGTTTTAATGAATTGGAACGATTGTATGATTTAGTTGTTCGGTATCAGTTGATTCTAATTGGTTGGTTCATCTACAAGCGTCTGTTTTGACAATGTTTTCTGCTTTGCTCCCTCGAATGGGTTTCTTTTTTACTAATTCAAGTTTTGAGCAAAACAATTAGTTAACTCAGTTTTAATTTTGTTTGTATTTGGTTACATGAACCATCTATATCTATTCAGCTCTATTCAACTGTTCATGCCTAGGTGGGCACTTTTTTCAACTAGTTTTTTATTTAGAGGATTCATGGTAGTTTGGCTAAGATGACCCGCTAATTTACCGCAACTCTTGTTTATTTCAACAACAACAAAAACGACATACCCGGTGTAATTCCATTAGGTGGTATGTGGGGAGGATAAGATGTATGCAAAACTTACTCCTACCAAATGGAGGTAGGTAGAGAGGTTGTTTCCTAAATACCTTTGGTTCAAGTAATTCATAACAAAGCAATGTTAAAAATAACATACAAATGCCAAGCATATATAACAAATAATAATGAATTATTACATTAGCGTTTAGAAAAAAGGAACTATAACAATATATAGTCGAAGAAATCAACGGGCAAGAAACTACGAGATTAGTACTAATGCTATTGGGATGCATAGAAAAAGCACTCAACTACCTACTAACTAACCTTCTACTCTAATCCTCAATTCCATGTCCTGTCTAATCACCTCAACCCAATACTTATTCTGCCAACATCTGCCTCTCTTTAACCCTACACTGCCAACCTCCCACACCTCCTTATTGGTGCATCACGCATCTCCTCTTCACATGGCCAAACTATCTCTCTCACACTTACCTCTTCTTGTCCCCAACGAAGGTCACTCCCACTTTTTCACGGGTATCTTCATTCCTAATCTAAGTTTTCCGGACTCTTCACTTTTGATGTCGCACCGTATCGGATTCTCCAAAAATACACTATTTTAGATAATCCAACATGCACCCGTGGACATCTTTGAACAACATAGTTCCTATTCTTGTCTCTCCTAGCATCCCACACATCCACCTTAACATCCTCATTTTCGCAACTCTCATCTTCTGAGAGTTCTTGACTAACCAATACTCTGCCCATACAAGATAGTTGACCTAACTACCACACTGTAGAACTTGCCTCTTAAGTCCATTAATTCATTACTAAAAATCCTATGACATCTTATTGATGATTTGTCTTTGCACGTAGGTGGAGTTTTTTAAGGCTATTAAACATTCCTCAAAGCTTTATGACATTATATTGATACTTGCATTTTATCGAGGGTACATTCATTCCCTGTATTGTGGAAATTTTGGATATTCAATTTGATTACAGTCTCATGTTTCTTAGTTATTGTTAAATGCATGGATCAATACTGTATCAAGATGATAGTTTTCCTTACCATTTTGTTTGTTTCTTGATATGCTGAATTTCGTGTGATGTTAAAAAAGGGTGATAGTGAGACGGTCTAGGTAGTGGGTTAGTGGGTTCATGTCTACTACATGTATGGGTTTTGCATCCCCTGGACGCATCTTAAGATAAATTAAATGCTGAATGTAAAGAACTTCTTGTTAAATTGTTTTTACTTATTGATGTTTCTCTACATAAATGAGTTAGCTAATAAATGACATATCTTTGAATTCTTGCAGTTTCCAGTTTGGTGCAACAATTACCAAACTCATTTAGCAAGTTGTCTTTTTGCCGTGATTAATACACGTGTTCCTGGTGGCCCTAGTCGTTTTACATGTCATGGATGAATCTGGTGGAACTCGATTTGAAGGGCTCAATGCTACTGTTAGGAAGAAAAGAAGCCTCATGTTGCGGCGACCTAGACCAGAGAAGCCTTTTCTTCATGAAGGCCGTGATCAGTCTCCCTTAACACCAGTTTCAGATGATTTTGGTAGGGTTTCCAGTGATGAGAACACTGATGATGCCAATGCTGGACGTAAAATGTTCAACCTTAATCATTGCATGTCTAGAGGCTCTGCTTCCAGAGTGGATGAGGACTACACTTTTAAGAAGACCAAGGATGGAGGATCTAGTCTGTTATATAGTAATGGAGATCCAGGAGATGATACATATTCCCAGCATGGTTCTTCTCTTAGGCAACCAGGAACTGTGCAGGATGGTGTTGGCAATGATAGCAAGCTGAAAAAGGTTAAGCTTAAAGTTGGGGGTGTGACGCGCACCATTCAAACCAAAACTGATTCTCATGGTGCATATGGTGGTGGTTTGTCTACAAATGCACGAGCCTTGGATGGTTCGCAGCCACGTCAGAAATCCACTTCACAGGTTATCACGTGTTTCTTCTCAAGTAGTTAGTTATTTGGTTTTTTTAAATCCACTTGGATTTTTAGTTTGTGTTCTTTAAAGTAGTCTCCCTCAGAATTATTTGGTTTCATTATTTTGAAAAGGAGGTGAGCCACATGAGATTTTCTGTTTCACAGCTCTACTCGTTCCTCTCTAACATACTTTCAGAAACTGAGAAGGAAAACATGTAGATAGATGTTGCATTATTGTAGGTTTATTAGGGAACAGAAACATTGAAGTGCATAAGAATCAAAGATTAAGAATAAGTTAAAAATTACTCAGTTTAGCCCCAAAGTATTAGCTAGGAATTTGCACTTGTGGTAGAAAACCAGCGGTTTTAGGTCAACCCTTTGCCTTATGTTGGATACAGTTTTGGATACTAATGCCAAACTCTAGATGATGCAAATTGTGATTAATTGCAATTTACCAAAGGGAGAAATCTACTTCTATTACTAGTAAATCTTCGGCATTTATTTTTTTTGTCCTATTATCACTGTAATAAAATTTCAATGCTGTCCAATTAACCTTTTCCTCTCTATTTTAGGACACATCAAGCAAAGACGGTCTTTTGGAAAAGAAAAGTGGGTTGCAAGGAATTATGTCGAGAGATTCGCCCAAAGGTTCTTTTGCTGCTGGCAAAGGCGATATGGGGAAGACGCCAATGACGAATGCCTTCGAAAAAGGGGGTGACAAATCAGATCCAACTCGTAAGAGTAAGAGGGTGCCAAAGAGGCGTGTATCGGAATGGTTTGATGAGGATGAGAAAGATGATGAGATTCGATTCTTGGAGAAGCTTAAAACCTCGAAGATTTCAGGATATAAAGATTTTGAGGAGGAATTGACCAACAAAAGAAGTGTTTCCCGGGTTTCAAAGGTTAGCAAGTTTGAAAAGGATGAAAATGTGGGAAGGCCAAGGAAGAAATCTGAGCAAGGTTCTGAGGACACTGCTTATGAGGTGGAAGAGTTTGTGTCTGATGGTGAGGCTGAAGGAAAAAAGAAGCAGAAACAAAGGAAGGAATCCTCAGATTCATCGATCGATACGATGAGAGGAGAAATGACTCTTACAACACGACAACGAGCTCTTCTATCTAGCAAGGATTCTTCTGCTGCTTCTACTGTGAGTCAGATTGAGTTCCCTAATGGTTTACCACCGGCTCCACCTCGAAGTAATACCCTGTAGTTACTTATATGTTCCAGTCGTATTTCTTTGCTCTAGTACTCTTTCCTGATTTTCAAATTTGTCTTGCCATCTTTGCTTTCGACAGAGCAAAAGGAGAAGCTCACTGATGTTGAGCAGCAACTGAAGAAAGCAGAGGCTGCTCAGAAACGTAGAATGCAAAATGAGAAGGCTGCTCGTGAATCAGAGGTTTCACTTGTTTCTTTTCCTTCTTACTGTATGTGCTCTTTTAAGATCATATGATGATGAAATGAGCATAACCTTTTGGAATTTGCAGGCTGAGGCAATTAGGAAAATCCTAGGTCAAGATTCTAACAGGAAGAAGCGAGAAGATAAAATAAAGAAGCGGCAGGAAGAGTTGGCTCAGGTAAACTGCTTGTTGGTAGGTACATTGCCTTTTGTAGTGAAGTTACGAAGCTGACAATTAATTAACGTCTATCTGGCAGGAGAAGGCTGCCAAAGAGCAGATGCTTGCAAAAAGCACTGTCAGAGTGGTTATGGGCCCTACTGGGACTGTTGTGACATTTCCTGAAGATATGGGTTTACCTCATATTTTTGACTCTAAACCTTGCAGGTAAGGGTTTTCTCCATCTCCACTTCTTTTTGTTTTCTATGAAATTGGAAACAGGAGATGGAGCCTGGATATCTTTGATTTGCTACATGAATGAAGCACTATTTAAGTTGCTAAGGGGTTCTGGATTGTGTTTTTATTGCTGAATTGCAGTTACCCTCCCCCTCGTGAGCAATGTGCTGGTCCTTCCTGTGTGAATCCGTACAAGTATCGTGATTCTAAGACAAAACTACCTCTTTGCAGTCTCCAGTGCTATAAGGCAATTCGTGAAAAGGAACAGGCTTGAAAGCCTGCTAAAAATTGTTGACATATGCTCTTGCACATTGTTTAGATTCAAGAAAGTACAATGAGGATATATTTTCCATATGCAGCAATCATGACCAGAGATATCTGGGAACAAATTGTATACAGGAATATTTTGGTGTCTCATAAATGTATGCCACCCTGCCCCTAGTTAATTTTTCATCCCTCATTTTTTATTTGATTTTCCCTATTTGCTGTGCAGTCGAGCCAGTTTTGGTGATTGTTTTCCTTTTCTCTATAAGTACATTCTTTGGGGAGTGTCAATTTTTTATCTGTGTTTTTCTGCTGGAAGTTTTGTCATTGGAGGGTGTTATTGCTTCAGCAGAGTCTCATCTGTTGAACCTCTGATGAAGCTTTTCCCATCCCTCAAGTGTGAATTACTGAATATCTTCTAGTTATATGTTAGAACTTAATAATTCTGCCGTGTGAGCTTGCTCAACTTGTTGGTTTCCAAGCCTTGATAAAGAAGGGTTGCGGTAGGTTGACGTCTAGAACAAAACTAGTTAGTTGTCTACTTTGAGTACTGTGTGAGAGGAAGATATACCTACCAAAACAAAAAAGGCTAGTTCAGTGGATCAGTTGTAAGGTAGACAATGCTATATGAGAGTGAATGTCAGGCCTCTAAGGCCCAACATATTGGTCATACAAGACTAGAATGACCATGTTAGACGAAAGGTGCAAGTAGCATACATAGAAGATAAAAATGAAAGGTCACTACAGATCATTTGGTCATGTCATAATAGACTCCCAGATGCATCGATCTTTAGGTGTGGAACAATAATGGTTGAAGTTGTTAAAAGAGCTTAGGTAGATTTGTAATCACAGGAAGTTGTCTTGAATGACTTACCATCTCTTGGAATACATGTAGACTTGGCAAAAAATAGAGTACAAACGAAAGAAGAAGATCTATGTAGGTGATGTTACTAGCTAAGATTAAGGCTATGTCTGGGATCCCAGTTTCTTCATCACTAAAGTTCTATTAGAGCGTTTTTATGTGGTAGAACCAACAAATAATTATTTAGATTGGATCATTTTTGTCATGCATTACATCATGATTAGGATCCTTTTTGTTGGGAAATTCCTGCCATTCATAAATGCTTGTTTCTCAAACCTCCTTGTGGCAGTAGTTGCCATTTTCTGTAGGAAATAGTCTTTTCCGTTGTCTTTGTAAGAAGGAGAGGGATGGGCTTTCCAGATATTCTCCCTTCTAAGAACCTTTCTCCAACATAAGTCGATGTTTTTCTGGAGAAAAAAACTCAATGCCAATAGGCCATAGCTGAGGGGACTTGTTACATGTAAGTTACTGTACTGTCACTGTATGTGAAAAAAGACACTTTCATTAGTAGACAAATATCTTCAATCCTTATCCTTGGGTTCATGAGCATGGGCCTTTCACAATTGGCATATTTAATGGTATCTAAACCTCCTATATATAAGATGCAGATTCTGGCATAAGAACATATACCCATTTTAAACCAATAGTGCAGCAAAATTCCAAAGAAGCAACATCTACTCTATGCCTATTGGCTATTAGTATAATCTACTAATATCTTCCCCATCAAGTTAAACCACTCCATGAAAAATGTGTCTACATTTGAACACTATAGTCTAGCAAAAGAAAACACTTGGCATTTGGGTGCCTCAGTGGTCCCCCAAAAACCAAGAAAAAAGATAAACAGAAAAGAAAATCGAAGGTTTGGACTGTATAATGTCTCTGACACATCCAATAATGTGATGTGTCAGTAGCACGTACTTGATGAAATAATCGAGGTATGCATAAGCTAAAGTTTGTCAGTAGCACGTATTTGAGCCTTTTCCCTTAACAAAAGGTCCCTTACATCCAAGTTTGAAGATGGATGAGGATTTTATCAATATTTTAAAGTTATTTAACTCATACCTTAAGATTTCAATTTTGAGTTCGAAATTTACTAAATTGTTTCATGTGTTCGATATAAAGAAGGATCGTGTCAACACAACGTGTTGCAAGCTTAAAACAAATAGGCAAAGGTGTCCACCCTATTTTTCTTTTGATAACAATAGGGGTTGAGGCAGTTACGCACACATTTATTAATTCCATAGGGTATCTACTATTCCTCACCAACGTAGGGATCAAATAACTTTATCTACAAATGCTTTGACAGATGGAAAGAAAAGTATCCTCCCTATAGAATATCAAAGCACCTAGTTTCCTTTACATGGCTACATAGTGGAAGTACGATGCCCCTTTTGTGAGTATCTTACTTACAATGTGCCAAATGAACAAGAAATTCACAATCTTAAGATACACAGTGACATGTGCACTTTGCTCGGTAAAGTTACTCGATACTTGTATTGGTAGTAGTTAAATAATTTAGCGTGCGCACGATTGGGTGCATCATTTTACCAACATATAGCACCAGAATGAACAACTTTTCTGAGTTTCAAATTCAATAAATCAACAAAATCTTTTCACTCACAAGACAAAAACAAGAATCAGGTTAACACAACATGCTGCAAAATTAAAAGTTAAAAACAGATAAATGAACATGTTCATTCTATTGAAAAATATAAATAACTGAGTTTCCTTTACATGGCTACAAAAGTGCACCCTCAAATAAAATGTTTGATGCTCCTTCCTGTGATATCTTTATATACAATATGCCAAGTGACATAATGGCAACAAAATCCATCAAGGAATTCACATACTTAATAGTTCACTACTACAAGCGGTTGATTTGTCAGATGATCACTCAACTAATAGTTATTATCTCATACAATAACTATTAGTCGAGTGACGGTGAGACATCAATTCCTACTAACCTATCTGAAACTGTGACTGATACCTGCATTTTACTAAGAGGAGGGATCTACAAGGATTGCCTCCTCAAAAATGCCCGCGAAGGATGTAGAAGATGGAGGTAGCTCCAATTCTCCTAATTCATCATAAAAGTCATTCTCTTCCGACAACTCAGATTTTGGAAATTTCATTAGTTGAGGGTAAGAAAGAGGCAGAAAATCATCATATGAAATTGTTCCCAAGAAACTGTCACTGAACAGATTCTCTTCAAGTATGCCTTGGGGAATACTGGTACCAGTAGTAGTACCAGTAGTACTATTCAATGGGGATTTGCAGCTTTGTGTGTCGTCATCATCATCATCGTTGTTGTTGTTGTCTTCGAGGGACACATGTTGATCCACTATTTGCTCTTGTGTAACAGAATCTTTAGGCAAATTTGGACCAGGATGATTATGGCTGGATGTATATGTGATGACGAACAAAGATGCATCTTTACTGCACCTTTCTACTTGTTTTTTAGCTGAACAACCCTTTGAACTGCTGCATCTGTAGTAACCCCTGTATCCAAAATCATCCATTACAACATGTTAGGTGAAATGTACATTTTCAAGCAAAATACATCAGAATTATCTTATCTTTTTTCGTTTTCCTTCCAAATTATCTGAAATTTTAGTTCATATTACTGATTCAATCAAACACAAAAAACATTTTTCAGAAAGTAACTAATAACTCATACCAAATACATCAAGATCACACTTATTCTGAACAACAGATTCTAAATCTTGAATTCGCCTCTACATGTATTAAACAGTTAAAATATTTAGATTTGTGGGGGTGTGGGGGTAGGGTGGGGAGAGAGAATTGTAAATCTACCTGGGGTAAGGGGATCCTTTAATGGGTTTTTGTCCATATTTTCTCCAAGACCAACAATCTGAAGGAGGCCCTTCATTTTTCTGCTTTAAAGATTTTGCTTCCATTTGCACTGTGATTACAACTTTCTGAGCCATCTTTCTAACATGAGAAGAATACTCAGAGCTGTCAGAAGAAAAAAAAAACAGAAAAAAGTACCCTTTATATATGCTAACAAAAAGAGATGCCAAAAACCATGACCAAACTATAAATATACGCGAAATTTTGTGAGTGAAAGTCTAAAAAACTTGAAAATACTAAAAAGATCATATTTTGAAATTTCATGACCAAACAGATAAATTCTCAAAATCTATGACGAAACGCTAACTTTTAGAGCTTTTGGAAATTGGAAGTTTAGTGAATCACCTGTTTTTTGAGGCAAGAAATTGTGGTTGTAGCAATCTTGAAGTTTTAGATTGTGATTTTGTTGGCTTACTTCTACCCATGACTGTGTGATCTTCCTTTTTCTTGTTTTTTATGTTTTTGGCTCTACCTGAGGAACAAATCTGGAGGTGTATGAATGAAGTAAGAAGAAATATTGGAGGTCTCCAATTGATTAGGAAAGAGAAAATGAATGAACTACTACTCTTCCATCGTGTCAATTCATTTTATTTGTCGTTCTTATTAAAAATAAATATCTCAAATATTCATAATACAAAATAAAACGTGACATTGAAAATGGATAGTAGGAGGTATAGATAAATGCCAAAACTACACGTTAAACAAGTTGTTTTCAGTCCTATCTTTATGAATGTCATTAATTGTAGAGCTAACATTTCCACTCAACAATAACTGTTCTGTGCCAATATAGAATATTATTCATTCATTTTCACCCTTTTCCACTATCATAAACTACTCTCCTTTTATCTACAACTAGAACAAGAATATAACATCACACACAAAACTTATCCTAATATATACATATATAGAATAATTTTTCATATACTTAGAAAATAGATAATTATCGGGATTAATTAATATTTATAATTAAGTACAAGATAAAATAATTTTATATTCAATAGATACACGCTGCTTTTGAGGTGCAAATCCTTGATAGAGCCGCCATCCCATCATTTTTCAAAATTTGTGCCAAATATTCCAAACTCCTTTATGGTTTGTTTCACTTTTTTTCAGAAAAAACAAATAAATCTTCTAAAATTACACTCTGTAGATCCTCACAACTTCTTCCAAGTGTAGGGGGATAGAGATGTTAGGGGCCTAAAGCCGCCTATACATAGTGCCTCCACCTATACAATTTAGCGGAGAAATCGGAAGAGGATTACAAGATGGGGAGACGAATTAACTCTTATAATAAGGTGAGAGTTGAGCTAGCAAATTAAGTGTACTATTAAGATTTTTTGGTGTTACGATTTTTTTATATCCGTTTTTAGGAGCTTTCACTTTTTTTTTTTTTTTTTTTTTAATAATTCAAACTTACAATCTTAGAATTAAAGATGGAAGATACTTATTATTTA